GATATGAATGGTTTTGAAACCAGACTATCAGACATTTGATTTGTTGTTCAAGACCAATGGCAGAAAAAAGGGGAAGATCGTGCTGCTCCATCAGATTCTACAACCTAAAACATAAGCACTCAGGTCAAATGATATGTGCTTCTATACATCTAATGGTGCTTTTATCTACAAGCATTATAAACTTTATGCCAACAGGCCTTTTGTTGTATGGTTGAAATTTATTTTGTTGTGATACAGCATTTATGATGCTGCCAAAGGTTGCAGTAATTACGACGCTATTTTTGTATAGTGTAGGTTTATCTTAGTAACGTATTCGGCCGAAAGCTTCGTAGGAGCCCAACATGCCAACATTCGTCGGGCCCATTCCAATTGTTCTAAAAATGATTCTAGGCCAAAATTTGCATGTAGCCCACTAAAAATATCTGGGCCTAAATCAGCATAAGCTTTCATATTTTTCTGGTAGGCCCGTGCCCATAGTGGGACGTTAACAGGCCTAAATATAATTTGGGCCCTCAGTAATAATAGGCCGTTTACATGTGTAAATATCTCGAGCCCATAAAAAACATGGGCCTTTAGTAGGCCGAAAGTAAGATTGGGCCCTGATTGTGCCAAATAACCGACTGGTCTTAGCAGGCTGAAGTGGTGGCCCATTTACAATGCGGATCGTCCACAGGCCGAAATTCAGACGGGTCGTAAATGTGTCGACCTACTATGCGGGCCTTAACAGGCCAGAAGTTCGGTCGGGCTTGATTAGTGTCATTTTTATATGGGCCGTTAGTAGGCCCGATGTGGCGTTGGGCCACATATGGCCCATGGATTTCGTCCCACGTTAACGGGCCGGAAGTCACAACAGGCTAAAAGTGGCCCAAATCTGTAGTGGGCCTCTAATAGGCTGAATGTCAGACATTGCCGAATATGACCCATATCCTTCACGGTCGTTTATGGGCCGAAAGTTTCAATGGCCTATAAATGGGCCCAAATGAAGCAGGACCTTTAACAGGCCGGAAACACACCGGGCCATAATTCGGCCCAAATTCTTAGCAGACTGTTAACGGGCCAGAAGTGACCATGGGCCGCAATGATGACAAGTTTAGGACGGGCCGTTGATGGGCCGATTTAACACTAGTCGTACGGGCCTTAACTAAGAATGTTGGGCCTTTGGCTGGCCCGGCCCAATATGGTCTGCAAAATCTTGTGGGCCTTTAGCTGGGCCGGCCCATTATGGCCCGCTAAATCTTGTGGGCCTTTAGTTCGGGCGGCCCATTTAATCTTTATGGGCCACTTTTGGGCCGGTCCACGTGTCAACGTATAATAGGAGCATCTCGCCCATTGGATGAGTGACACCTATGCCGACGCGGAGCTAACACGTGGTTCCATTAGCCAATGAGAATTTTACACATGGAAATCGCATTGGTCGTTGCTGTTAGCGGGTTATCGGATCCAAAACCGGACCCGATAGCTTAACGGCGTCCCGTTACGATGGATGCCACGTGCCGGTCACCCTTGGCGAAAGCACTTCTATGATGCGCGATGTATCATCATGGAAGTGGACACTTTCGTGATGATAATTTTGATAATGTCATGGAACACTTCTACCATATCACAGGTATGACTATCTTGATTCTGTCATAAAATTTTCATGGATGTACATGCATGACAGAAAACATGACCTACTGTGAAAAACACGTATCATCACGAAAGTGTCTTTTTTTGTAGTGTAAGTCCCCCTTTATGAGTAGAGACGAGAACTATAACGCCCAAGATGCGATTCTATCCCAATCACGTGAGGAATTCATGATTGGGGCACAACTGCATTTCGAGTGCATAGCAAGGTGGATGTCATTACAACATACCATGTACTGAATAGATGAGAATACAAGATAAAGGCTTACACTCGCCATAAGGTACAACATGAATACATGAATACATCAATACATAGAAATCACCATACAGAAGAGTAGGATCCGACTACGAATGAAATCAAACGAAAAAGAAGAACAATATCCACCCTGCTAATCCCAGGCTCCCGACCCGGAACCTATCCCTTGATCGAAGAAGAACAAGCAGAAGAACTTCAAACAAGCAAGCATTCCTCTCTCGTCAAAGCATCGCTTTACCTATACCTACAACTGTTGTTGTTGTAATCTCGGCTCACACTTTACTACAACAATAGTTGCAAGTACAGGTAAAGCTTCGTCCCCGCCTCCCCCCTTCCCCTACCCGCTGTCGTCGGCGAGCTCCCTCGGGCAAAGCCTGGTGGGCACGACGGCGGCGGGGCCCTTCTTCCTCCTCCACTTGTGGGCGCCGGTGCGGGCGGCTCCTTCGAGTGGCAGCGCTGGACGTTCGCGGGGTCCAGCGGTGCGGCGGTGGTCTCGCAGGGCGGCGGGGTGGCCTGCTGGTGGTGACGCTCCGACGACCTTCGTTACGCGTGCGGCGGGGCGGCTGCGATGCTCCCGTCTAAGGAGGTGGCACGCGGCCGGTTTCTTGCCGGATCCGGCCGGATCTGGCTTTGGGGAGCGGCCGACAGCTCGTGGCTCCAGTGGTGCGTGCCCAGCGGCTCCGGTGCTTGGAGCTCGCCGAGTGACGCGAGTAGGGCAGCGGCCGGGCGTGGCCGTTGCTCCAGCCGTGGGCGGCGGCATGGGGAGGTCTCGGTGGCGGCCTACCGGTTTCGTGGTGGCTTCATGATGGCTCGACGGATCTGCCCACGGGAGCGGCCGGCTTCTCCGGTGTCGGTTCATCTGCGTTTGGGTTGTCTCGTCCTTCACCCCATCTCCTCGTCTCCCGGGCGCTACTCCCATCAATGGGCTGGTCCTCTCCCAGCTACGGTACACCGCTCGTCTCGCGCCCGGTGCAGCAGGACCGAGCTCGTCTCACGCATGATGCAGCAGGACCGAGCTCGTCTCGCGCACGGTGCAGCAGGACTGACCTCGTCCCCCTCTCGATGATGCAGGACCGAGCTCGTCTCGCGCTCGGGGCAGCAGGACGGGTCGGTGGATGCCAGTTCTGGCCGACCTATTGGGTCTCGATGCTGGGAGTCGCCCAGGGGCGTAAAAGGTGGGACCTTTCTACTCGTCTCTTTCGTTGGGGTGCGGCGGGTCTCGGGTGAGGTGGTGTCGAGGTCTTGGATGGTGGGGCGGCGGCCCTAGTGGTCGTAGCGCGGTGCTCTTGGGCAGAGCCCGTGCCCTGGTGATGCCCGGTCACCATGGCTGTGTGAGCGACGTGGTTGCCGGGGTGTGGCGTTCGGTGGTGGTGAATGTTGGCCTAGGTGAAAACCTGCTCTATCTTCGGACGGACCGGCGGCGGTGAAGATCGTTCCCTTCTTGAAGGCGTCGTCGCGGCTCTCATTGCCTGTCATGCGGCTCCAGGGGAAACTCTGATTCTTGGATCGGGCGATGGCGATGCTCTGGTGTCGTACCCTTCCTGAAGGTGTTGCCTTGGAGCGCATGGTTCGTCATATGTAGCTTCATCTCTTCAGGGCAGTAGTGCTAGGGGTGGTGTTGCTATGCTCAGCGTCTATGTATCATGTTCTGGGTGTGTGTGTGTGTGTTGCGGTGACGTGGCGTGTGTTTGTACTGAGTGCTTGTTGATTGGTGTTTTATATATAAAGCAGGGCGAAAGCCTTTTTCAATAAGGAGTGGTTGACTCATACTTCTCCATTCAAGATGTGGTGTACTAGATAGGATGTGTTAGGTGTGACAATGATTAAAATAGAATGCATACTATGCATCTTCCTGATATATAATCAATCTAAGACGTCATAAATATCTTATCTTTACGAAAGCAGAACTAATCGCTGTCCTAATACAGAGGCCGGAGGTCCTCCTCCTTTTCTAGAAAATTATGTCATATTTATGAACGAAAACCAATCATTAACATACATAATTTAATTTACTAGAAATTTTAACTTTATTATTATTTAGAAAAATACATAGAAAAGACGTTCCCGACAAAATAGTTGTTTTAAAGATAGACAAACAGTAGAAGTCTAATTCAAAAAAAATAGAAAAAAACTGGTTAAGATAAAATGAAATTAATATCAACCAAACTTTAAGACCCATTGACGTAACAGTTTGACGTGTATGTGAAGTATAAAAAAAATCGAGTGAATTTACCCTGCTAAATGACATTAAAGCGTATAATACCATTAAATTTTAACGAAATATTGTTTTAATTAGGCTGCAACTGCTATATTTGCATTAATATTCATTCTTTGGGATAGGATTTTCTTTTACTAAGAGTTATGTCATAAAAATAATAGATAATTAATCCAAATGTACTTTAAAATTTATGTAATCTCACTTTATATGCAAAGTTCCAAAAAAATATTATGACAGATGATTAATGGACACCATTTTGCTAGTTTGATTAAAAAAACATGAAAAAGGACAGGCTGCTACACTACAACAAATGAACAAACCACACAGTTCAGTTCAGTCTTTTTACAGCTTACTCCTACCTTGTAAAGAAAAGGTTGTCTTCTTCTTCGCCGCTTCCATCCATCCATCCTCAGGAGTCAGGGGCCTGAGCTAACCTCTTGGAGCTTTTACTCCCCGAGCTGCCCTCCCCCGTTCCAAGAGCAAATCAGACGCCGAGGGGAGCGGCCGCAGAGCGAGTCAACCGGGTGAGCTGCTCCGCGATTCCCCTGAGAGAATATTTTACTACTTGTTGATTTGCTCTGCCCGGCCCGGCTGGGTTGGACCCCCATGTTCATCCTGCATCTACCGAGCGAGGCTCGATTCAAGCAGCATCCGCTGCACGTTTTTGGATCTCGTCGGGCCTTGTTCCGGCGTGGGGACGGAAGCTTGCTCTGGCGGTGCCACAAGAACAATTCTAGCTGAATCTGGAGCTCAGAACGTGTGTATGCAGATATGCATGTGTTGACTTTTTAGGAATTGGGGTTAGCTGCTGCGTGCATTCTAGCCTTCTGATGTTGGGACATCTCCCTGTTTTGTGTCATGAGTCTCCAAATTAACTGTGTTCTGGCAAACTTGTGAGCAGGCATGGCGATGGCGAGCTCGACGAGGAGGCTTGCGTTTGTGCTACTCGTGCTGGCCTTTTCGGCCGCGCTCGCAGAGAGCAGAGATGCATATATGAGGAGCGCAAATCGATATGCCTGCATACTGAGTAAGTTGTGAATTCATTACAAGATTGAATGCTGGTATTGGTTATTCTTGTTTCTTATGCAAGAGTTTCTGTTCATGTCTCAGTGGTATCCATGCTGATAATGCTAGGTAGATCGACCGGGTGCAGCAATTGTGTGCCACCGATCCACTTTTCTGGAAAATAGTTGCTAGAAAACCATCTGAAAGCTGTGATCTTTGCTATAATATATGTACGAAGAACTGCCACTTAATTTTTGACCGAAATACTACTGTCTTTAGATTTGGTTTTGTTCTGATTCCAGAAATAATTCTGCGTCTATTTTTCTGTTTCATCTGAGTTGCACAGACACATAGAAGTATGAATTGTGTTGTTGATGCCTGTGTTGTACAAACTATGAATTGTGTACCCACTGCTTATTAGATATCTTTAGCTAGCAGTAGTCACAATTAGGGCATGTTATTCTGCTTCCTTTCACTGATTCTGAAAGTCTGAATTATCACTTATGGTTTCTCACAAAGAAAACTCAGATCCAAATGTGATAAATTATGTTCACCACATCTTCAGCCAAACACCCCTCTCCTTGCGAAAATTAAAGTCCCACTGTTTTTGAGTGTTCACCTTATGATAAGAACTGCAACTTAATTTTTGACCAGAAGACTGTCTTTTTATTTTTGAGCAGAAGACTGTCCCTAAATAATCCTGCATCTACTTACCAGAAGGCTGTCCATAAATAATCCTGCATCTACTTTTCTGCTTTTTTTTTGCGGGTGATCTACTTTTCTGCTTTGATCTAAGTAGAAAAGACACATGGTAGTATGAATCACGTTGCTGATGCCTGTATTGTAAGAAACTAAGAATTGCTTTACTTGCTGCCTGTTAGATACATTTAGCTGGAAGTAGTCACAATTAGGGCATGTAAATTCTGCTTCCATTTACTGATTCTGTAAGTCTGAACTCTCACTTATAGCTACTCATAAAGTGATAAAGATAACTGTGATCCTGCTGTGACAAATTATGCTCACCACATCTTCAGCTAAACACCCCTCTCCTTGTAAAAACTCAAGTTCCACAGTGTTGAGTGCTGACCTTATGAGTTGTGCTCAAACTGCTCTGCTGTATCCATTTCAGCCCAGGAAAGCTTCCCTCTTGCAAGCAGAGGGGCAGGATTAACTTCGGCAAACGGAAAGCTGTGTGTACTATGTGAGCAGTACTCAACCGAAGCTCTGGTCTACCTGCGACAAAACGAAACCCAGACCGAGATTCTCAGTGCCCTCCACCACACGTGTGCAAGTCTTGGTCCTCTAAGACAGCAGGTATGGCTAAATGGCAATGCCTGCCATGCATAGCATAATTGTAATCTCACTAAACTGACTGGCTTTCATCTTCTTGCAGTGCATCACGCTGGTTGACTACTACATTCCCGCTTTCTTCTTGGAGGTTTCTGTGGTTAAACCTGAAGAGCTCTGTGAGTCAGCGCACCTCTGCCCAAAGGGGGCGGCGACTCGGTCGTCCACGCGAGGGGAGGCCTGTGGTCTATGCCATCATGTTCTTGTTGAAGTTCTTACCATGCTTAAGGATCCCAACACCAAGGTAACTGCCATCTTCTCGATCGCCGTCATCGATCTTTTGTGCAATGGTTGGCTTCTACTTTGCACATGGCTAATGTGTTTTTGTGGGTGTCGCGGTTTTTTGCAGCTGGAGATAGTCGGGCTTCTTTTCAAAACATGCAGCAAGGCAAAGAACTATGAACCGCAGGTGAGTTAAGTTCAGAAACAGTCGTAGATACCGGAACACAGACGAATCTGCCTGTAATTAAACGATAGCATATCACAGGATCACCTAGTTCTCATGGTCTTTCATACAACAGAAATAACTGAGAAGCGCTGACCTGTTCTAATGCTTCTGAAAGTTAGCGGTTCAATACTAGTGCTTTTCTCTAGCATGCCAGTTCCAGTGATATATATACCAGTTCAGGATCATTAGAACTTTAGATGTTGCTAACTATTTCTGTAATTGGCTAACTTTGTGACAACTGAATGTAACACATAAACCTTTTGATGTTTTTGACGCTTTGCAAGTATCTAGTTTCTTGTTAAAAAAAGGCTATCTAGTTTTGTTCTGCTCACGAGTCTGCTTTTGTTTTTATTTCTCAGTGCAAGAGGCTTGTCCTTGACTACATCCCACTGATTCTGGTGAAGACCCAGAACTTCCTTGAGACGACGGATGTCTGCTTTGCGACACATGCCTGTAAAACAGGCATGCAAGCAACCATTCCTCTATCCGCCGCTTTGTGAAGAACAAATGTGTAGGAATCATACGCGGCAAAGAAGCCTGTAAATGTTCTTCCTATGTTTAGCTCAAGCACTACCAAGCTATGAAACTTCGGGTCGTGTGATGCTTTGTCTGTACAATTTGAGCTCTGCCCTCTGAAGTTTATGCAGCAAGCCTGCAGCTGTACTATCATAAATTTGCTCAGCGCACAATCGTCTCAGAGAATTGTGAAAGTTAACATCACATTGTATCTAATGCTATGTATCCAATCATGATGGTATTATTATTCGGTGTTCATATCTTGCTTTGGCATTAGCAAGTGAAGCCATTTTTATGGGGAAGGTAAGCCTGAATTTTGATATGAAAAGATTGATGAGACTGGATTGCTAACATACTTCTTGGTACCAGAAATACACATTTCAATTCACATTAAATTCTCCATAGTTAGAAGTGAACTGAAGAAACTACAAGTGTTAGATTTAGTAGTCATTCAAGGGTAGAATAGCACCAGATGACCTTAATTCTCCAGAGTAACTACGAATGTTAGATTTAGTTGTCCATTCAAAGCCAGACAGAATATAGTTACCAGAGCACATTTCACAAAAACAGAGGCTTAACTTGATAATTGAGTTGTCAAATGACACCCACAGGAAGGATCACAAACAACGGTGCAGATCCAAGTCTTTGATGATTTAGACCCTAGTAGAAGGAAATATACACATCACAGCAGGCCATTACTACAACTAGAGTTTCACACATCCATGTGCTGATGACACGTGTCTTCTCATTGCATCCTCTCCTTTCTAAGCCTCTCAAGCTCCTTCACCATCTGCCAGTGCTCCAGGGAAAGGCTCTTCTCACCAAAGCTTGAGGCTGTAATCTGAGCCATTGTCAGCCATCTGCACATCAGCACAAAGAAAGTTAGCCGGATGGAGGTTCATAAACTTCAATGTTATCGCAAACACAACATGTTAGACGCCCAAGATTACCTGCTAAGTTCAGTGCAACCCAAGCTCCTGTCGTTGCGCATGGCGCTGACCATTTCATCTTGGATTGTCTACAGTTAAGATGCAAACATTGAGCAACTCAGTACAGTGTAAACCATGCACGCAAACATCTGAAAGCTCTGAATCTGCTAGATAGTGGAACAAGGGATTGTTGTTACCTGGTAAATCTCAGGTTCAGAAGACTGAGGAAGAGACCTCACTGTGGCCAAGTACCACCTCCAGCTCTCAAGTTCCTCCGAAGTGGCATTCGCCGCAGAAACAGTTGATGGACGAAAAGGCACTACCAAGTCTGAAGGCAGAATGTTTGATTTTCCCTCAGAAAGAGTAAGTAGCTGCACATCGGTCGCCATCTCCAGCTTGTAGTACTCAAAATCATACTCAACCTGTAAGTACAACAGACAAAATTAATAAATGAAAATTACCCAGCAATGATAATTTGGAGGTTCATGCTTGAAGTATCATGCCATCACTAATTCACTTTAGATGTGCGCAGTTGGTTACACCTAAGTGCTTGTGAATTTTGATTCAAATTTTCATTTTCATTCACTGTTGGATCTTATATGTATCATGTCTTAAATACAAATTCAGGGACAATTATTACCATCTGTGACTCCATCAAGTTCTTAAGCAGCACCGTATTCTCAACACCTTTAGATGCCAAAGATCCAGATTGCAAGAGAGTTTCATCAAATGTCAAGTGAGAGCCTTGAGGTAGCTGCAGAACTCCTGTAACCAGCCTACACCAAATTTTATGAAGAGCACAGTTTATAGGTTAGCTCCCAATAAAGGCAAGGAGTTACATACTTATGGAATTTGATTGGACAAGCAAAAAGAAACTGAACAGGACATACCTTCCTGACTTGTTATCCTTTCTAGGTTGAAGTGTGGCTGTGTTGAGATACTCAATTGACAGAGGAATAGCTTGTGAATATGGCATTAGTCCCTGGATCAAAGTATTTAGCTGTTTTCCAAAAATGGAAACACTTTCTCTGTTAAATCCAGTGAAATTCAAGGAGAGCCTGCCAACAGTGACCACATCCACCCTAGTTCGTAGCTGTAGAGATATTGAAAAGGCAATGAAATCAGTAAACCAACATACAAAATGTCTAGCAAAAAGCACGAAAAGAAAGCAATGCGAAGTGATAAGACATACTCTGGATAGAAGATGCAGCAGTAAACAGTTAGCAGCCAGGTCATCTTTCCCTAATACCAGAGTGAGATGTGAGAGCAAAGATTGCCGGATGCCTTTTAGTAGACTTGGCGAAGGCTGCATGATAAAAAAAACAGTGGTTAAGAGTTCTGTATGTTACTAGGAGGAAATGAATACATTGGTTAAACCAACAGGCCGTTTTTCCAGTTCAAGGTCATAAATTCACCTCAACAGCAGGATGCTTTGCTAGAAAATCAACAGATGATAATTTTCGCCACACCAAACAGTGAAGACGGGGCACCTATACAAACAGTTTCAAGGCTAGAGGTTAGGGCAAATATTAATATATGCATAGAAATTCAAGTTCCTGTGTCACGCATGAAATCAAGCACTATGCACCCTATAATAGGCATACCTTGCTGGGAGGCAACTGAGCTGTTACATCTTCAATGAGATCAAACATTATATCATCCGAATTATCATTGGGAGCAGCAAGTTCTGGATCGAATGTATATACCCCTATGAACTCAGCAACATCATTTAGTTTCACTTGACTTTCAGGCATATCATAGATCTGCAGTGCATGAAAGTCTGTAAGCAATAGGACTTGCAAGAACAGGAAGCACAGCAAATAAATTAGCTAATGTACATTTCATACAAAAAAGTTCAGGCGCCCCACCTTCACTAGACATGAAAAGGAGCTTCCAGGAATATGATGATCATTCCCATTCATCTGTGGCAGGTTTTCACTTGCTGGCATTTCTGCTGAACTAGATGGGATCTGGACGTCATCTTCCTTCTGAGAAAAAGCAAATGCACGTTATGTCAGATAACCAAACCCTTCATTCTATATGACTTCGGATTAGCATGAAATGGGGCATTTTAATTAACTAAAACATGTTACTGATCAATTGATATGCTTACTCATTCTATTCTATGATTATGCTAATCTATATCCAGACAAGTAACTTAGGCTATCAAATGCTAGATGAACTTAAAACCAGAAACAGATACACACTAGATTATGGGAAACTAAGTTTGGTTCTTACTGGTTTCTTGCTGCATGAAGAACTCTCACCATTTCCATTTTCTGAGACCTGTAGCAAGCAATGCATCAGATGCCAATGCTGGTTACTGGACACTGAAATTGTCAAGAGAGTGCATTATTGTAACAAACATGACAAGAGCTTACATCCATGGCATCATCATCTCCATCCCTCTTCCTTTTCTCCCTTTGTTCAGGTGACAAGCAGCTTGCCATTTGGCGCAGGTCAGGCCCAGGGGAAGACTCCAGTGTCCACGAATTCTGTCCAGGCACCTGAAAGAAGCCAATCAAACTATTCAGGTGAATCCCACTAACCAACCCTTTGTACAAATAATTTCTAGAACTGATCAGAAAATGGGAAACAAATGCTCTGAGATTCAGTAACATACCGGCACGCAATGGAAGAGATGGCGCTCCCAGAGGTGCGAGTCACACGGGTGCGGCATCGCAAATGGCGAGAAATCTGTGAACTTGTTCGTCCTCCAGGTAGACCCATCCTTCACAAACAGTGTTCATACAGGTAAGCATAAGAAGGCACTAGCCGAAGCTTGACGGCGGCATATCAGCAGAGTCATGTCAGTAGTACCTTGAAAGCCCCGGCATAGAACTCGTTCCCGAGCATGTCCTGAACCATCCCCCGGAACCGGACGAGGGTGTTGGGTTTGATCAATCCGAGATTTGATGCATCCAACAATGGAACCTGGAAAGGACAAACACAGTGTAAGAAATCTCGTTTCATCTGGTGAAAGACAATTTGAAATCTCCTAACAGTGCAGTAGAATCTACTCCTAATACATACAAAAATAAATCCCTACTCCCCGCCATAAATCCGTAAACGCATTTGCTCTCAAGTCTCAAGCATTCTTCTACATTCTATTCATTTTGTTGCTAATCACTTTTCCCCTTTTACAGTGCAGAGTGCGGACTGCGTACATAAGATTATCAAAATTTGATGATTTATCTATCTATGATGAGGCCGATTAGTCTATAACATGATAGACTGACGCAAAGGAAACCGGCAGACGCCAAACCAGACCGCGAGTGGATAGCCTAATCACGTGCGGCGTACTGGCATGCGAGAGGGAAATAAAGGCAAGAACAGAGACGGCGAGGGGTCGATACCTTGTCGAGGCCGCCCTGCTCGAAGAGGAAGGAGCGGAAGACCTCGCTGGCGCCCCAGTCCTTGGACCGGAACGCCGCCACCGGGTCGCGGCCCCCGGACTCCGCCGCCGCCGCCCTCTCGAAGGTGGCGCGCACCGCGCCCAGGGGGTTGCCGACGAGGTCGTACTGCGGGCCCACCATCCTCTCTGCCTTTCTCCGGCAGTGGATCTCGCTCTCTCTTCTTGGGGAGTTGGGAGACCAGGAGACCAGGAGACCAGGAGGCAGGAGCAATGGCGGGGAGGTTGTGAGGCGGGGAGGGAGGCGGGAGGGGTTATAAGTGGTTAGGGGTTTCCCGCCACTGGCGGCGGCGCTTCCCGCCGTTTCTCCCTCCAGTTCCCGCCAATTTTTGTGGGCTGGGTGCGTGTACTGGGCCGACCCAGGCCCAATTTTGCCATTGATGGGACCCGAGGCCCATTTTGTTAATGTACCAAGTTTTTTACGACTAACATTTCGGTTACCCCTCCAGAAAAAAAAACTAACATTTCGGTTTTGTGAGACAAGAAACAATAAACAGTTGTCTTAGATTCTCTTGAAAAGAACATATATTTGTTTGTTTTAGATTCTCTCGAGCATCGCTCCCTTCATGAAGGCGTTGTTGTTGAAGAACCCCGTTGTCCTTATGGTGTCATGAGATGGTTGGTGTGGATATGGCCATTGTTG